TATCAAATTAATAACATTCGTATCCATCCTTTTCAACATCCATCCTTAACCCGTACTATCTTTAGAAACAAGCTGTCATGGCAAGCTGTCATAGAGAGAGAGAATATAAGAAAAATTATCCGGTATTCGCGCATTCTTAGGAGTTTTATCTATCCCCCCCTCCGCCAAGTTAGGAACCATGCCAAATGATAATAAATATATAAATTATATTACCCACATAAATATTATATTGTATTGTTTATTTATATAAAATGATATTTTAAAAGATTGAATCAGTTAAATATTTTAATAGTTGAAAACTTTCAGGCAGAAAAGACAGAAAACTGTAGAATGAGATAGATAAGCCCGGTTCATAGATCGAGCTGTAGCTATGACTTCACAGCTGAGCTGTAGCTAGTTAAAGCTGTCTGAGTTTTCTAGTCAATGAGCACACCTAGATCAGACCTTAGGTATGACTTCAAATCATAGCAAAATTTCAGCTGATCCAAATCTTAGCTCAGCTAAGATTTAGCTCCGACTTCACAGCTAAACCACAGCTTCAAGGAACACACTGGCCGCCATTATTAAAAATTTCACTTGAATTTGGAACAGACTACACACCATTATACCAAACCATACCAGACCTTAAGCTACAAGCAGACGGAATGTAAACAATAACAATTCTTTAATTTTCAAAACACTTTTACTTGTTATATCGATGCAAAAAATAAACAAATTATTTTTTTTACTGATTAAAAAGCTCCAAAACAGTGTGACACAGTTTTTTGCAACCATTATGTCGTAGGCTTTTCGCATCAATACTTTGTAGACCTAAATTTAGTTTGGGATACATTTATTTTTATTTCAGGAAATATGTCTCAAGAAAAGTTAATGTGGAGCGAAGAAAATATTGATATTCTTAAACATTTGGTGAAAGAGTGTGATGGAGGACGATTTATGGTCGCACTTGGGAAGGACAGTCAGAAAAACCATATTTACCTAAAAAGGTAAATATAATTATACTTGGTAATTTCATAATCAACAAATTTTGGAGCCCCCCAGTAATTTCCTAGAGAGTGGTTTTTCCCCAGCAAATTAGTATTGGCCATGTGGCCGCAGCGCTTGGCCCCCTTGCCTGTCATAGCCGTAGCGCTCGGCCCATAAAAGAGCTTAACCTAATCTAACCCTAAATATACACTAATATTATTAAAAATTGTTTAATTTTATAGGTCCTTCCTAGCCGCAGCGCTCGGCCCAGAAAAAAATGGTCATGTACAAAATTGATAGGAGGGAGGGGGGGGGGGGCCAAAAATCGTTCTCTAGGACAGACCCAATGTCACACATGGTCAAAGTTCAACATGCTCTCACTCAAACTGTGTCAAAAATGCCGCGAAATGACTAAATTTCGACATTGTAAAATTGTTGGACTGCATTTAATTAGCCTTCATTAACTTGACTTTTTGGCTTGTTTTGCAGAGAATAATTCAATTATTTTTCCCTCCGGTAAATATTGTACGCTGCCCCTGGAACTAGTCTTCAACCAACATTTTATAAATTATATTTCTAATCTAAAAGACTAACAGGTGTCCCATATAAATATTATATTGTATTGTTTATTCATAAAAATGATATTAAATCATTAAACAACTTTTGTACGGCAGAGTTGAAAAATGGGTCTGTTTACACTTCACAATTGCTGTGCCTCATGTTCATTAAACTATTTAAAGTCTGAAATTGAGTCTAAAAGTCGACTTCCTATTCAAGAGTTTTCTGGTTATCACTGTACACAGTATCTACAGTGGTTGGCGATTATATCAATACACTGAAGACGACTTACTTTCAATTTTTCATTTAATTCAAGCTGTTAATTAGCATGGTTACACAAGTCAAGTGGAGCTATCAATTTAAAAATCTTCTAGTCCTTAGTCATTATTTCTTAGTCCTTAGTCATTATTTCTTAGTCCTTAGTCCTTAGTTCCTACAATTTCAAACAAAAGTTCTGATAGTGTATTTCAAGAAGGTCAACATATTATTAAAACTAATCTTAAAACGAACATTATTATTTAAATAAGACTTAAACCTAACATGTTTAAATTGCAACTAGACTTAAACCTAACATGGTTAAAGAAACTAGACTTATACCTAACATGTTTATTGAAACTATGGAACTAGACTTAAACCTAACATTCAATATAGAAACTAGACTTAAACCTAACATTAAATATAGAAACTAGACTTAAGTTTAATATTAAATATAGAAACTAGACTTAAACCTAACATTAAATATAGAAATTAGAATTAAATCTGACATTAATTAAGCCTAACATTAAAAACAAAAACTAAACTTAAATCTAACATTAAATATAGAAACTAGACTTAAACCTAACATTAAATATAGAAATTAGAATTAAGTCTAACATTAAATATAGAAACTAGACTTAAACCTTACATCAAAAATAAAAACTACACTAAAGCCAAACATCAAATATAGAAATTCTACTAAACTTAACATTAAAGAATATTTAATATAAACAAAGAATAACGTAAGATTTTTAAGAAAAATGCAGCTAATTTCAAATATTGACATTCGCATAAATATTTGCTATACAATTTTTAAAAATCTATGTTAAATTTAAAGCACTATAATTTTCAAAATCTTTTTTGTAAAAAGACACTTTAAAATTAACATTACAGTTTGCTTTAAAAAATAGCAATTAGCGTTGGTAAAAATAGTTTAATACAAAAAATACATTTTAACAGTTCCTAACAATGCTAGACAGATGGTAAACAATTTTTTTAAATTCCTTAACCAGATAGAGAAAATTATTCTGATATGATCAAATTTACGACAAATTGTTTTTCACACTCCAATCAGAATTAACTTTGCAAACATGTTGATTGCGCTTTTTTGTTTAAAAAGAACCGAAAAAGCATGACAATTTATTAAAGTCACCCTAAAGTTTCTGTATTTAGGCCCATGCCTGAACTTTTACATCGTCTACATTAGCGGTAGCCCTGAAATAGATTAATATTAATAACCATCGAATAGGTAGAAAAAGACGACATTTAAGCAAATCGTTTTACCAATAGGTTAAAAAAAGATTAATTACAAAATATTTATTATTATTATAAAAGTTATTGCTTTATAAGTGTTATTTATTAAATATTATTATTCGACATTGTTTAATAGAAAAGGAGGAAAACATAAACATTGAAAACAAAATTGAGAAAAGTTTTAATGTAAAGTTCTCTCTTGTTAAAACAAACTAAAAATGATTTCATGCATTGGGATAAAAAAAATATCCATGATGTATAGATTTTACGATGAAGTAAGGCTGACATTATAATATTCTATTTTTGCTTTTTTTCTATTTCTACTAAAGTTTTCATACAGGGTACCTCAAATATCAAGCTTTTAAGAAGACATGGATTTTACACAAAAATGAAAACCAAGAGAACCTGTCAATTATAAAAGCTTCTCTTTTATTACTTGTAAACTTGTAATTCAAAAAACAAAAACATAAATAAAAAGTCGTCTTCTTTATATTAATATTATCTCCTACAACAAATTCTATTCTTTTGCATAAAAGACTAAAAACTATTCATGATGCAGGAAGACATGATCTATTCTAATGTAACAGTGGGCGAGTTTTGTTGATCTTTTACGATCAGCAATTCAAGGATTTTTTGGATCGCTGAGATCATAGCTACCAAGGGGAATCATGCCCCCTTTCCCCCCCCCCCCATCTTTAACCCTACGGTTGGACTTTAGATCCTATTTTGAATCCTAACGGATTTATTTGAGTTTGCATTTGGATTCTATAAATAACCCAAGCGACGCCGAATTTTCCGTTATCTCGAAGACCCAAGCGTTGGGGAGGGGGCGGAACAACCCCGGGGTAGCTAGGGTTAAATGCGATCCTAGGATGGAGCAAAATCGAAGGGGGACAGGCAGTTGTGATTCAGCTCCCTTGAATTAAGGTTCCCTTGAAGAATTCCCCTACTAGATGAAAATGATTTGATTAACAATATTTAATTTGTATAAGTGAGACGATGAAGATGAAAATGTAAAATGTCTCCTGTTTGATAGAACTGATTAGATTCATAATATTTAGTTTGTATTGGTATCGTTCGATTTAGAGTTTGTATCTTTTGTATATAAATATATTGTAAGAAAAACCGACTCGTTGAATATTTGAGAAACTCAGTGCATTGCTTTATTGATTTTTATTCATATACTATACTAATCTTGCTCTTTTATTTTTATATTTCTACTAAAGTTTACATACAGGGTACCCCAATAAACAATTACATGGAATTTAAATGGTCCATCGTCCCAACATGGTTATAAAAATCTTACAGGTTTATTTTCAGGATTTCTAAAATAGGGCCTGTAATGTTTGAACCCTCAAAATTAAAGAAGAAAAAAAAGCAATTCGTCTAGATTTAATTTTTTTAAAATAATAGTTCTCCCGAATATGCTAAGGTTATTAATGAACATAATACAATGACAAAAAAATGGATTTCATGTTTACTGGAACTGTATAACCTTTCTCAATAATACCTATCTAGGTAGATCAAATTGACATTACTATTTTTAAGTTATATTTAAAATAAATTTTGCTGGTATAATCTCTGAAAATATCAATATTACTTTTTTACATAAACTTTATCATTTTAGATCATCAGTTTGGTAGAACCAAGCTTTTAGGGACTGTAGAGGTAATTCTAAGTGACCCCTACACCCCTTTAATTCCACATTTTTAGCTGAAAATTGATTATTTTTGATTGTGTTTTCTATGTAAAGATGATGTGTAGACATGGGTTACTGTACTCATGCTTTGTGGGTAACCCTCTATATGTTTGCATTCACATCAAAAGTTTTATTGGTTTGATCTGAGTATTTAATTTAAAGTTTGAATAGGGTGTGATTTGATTTACAAAATGGTCCTTTTGTCGAGTTAGAAAAAATACTGATTGGAAATTTAGACGTTGTTTGATTAAGATTTAATCCTGGGTCAAAGTGAAAATCTGTTTATCAATGCAAAGGAAAATCTGTTTATCAACACAAAGGAAAATCTGTTTATCAACACAAAGGAAAAGCTGATAATTAAAACAACAATTACAATTTTCTGAGTAGTAATTGGCAATTTGTTATGTTTTATTCGTAAACAATTAAATTTTTTTTGTTCATGTAAAATTTTATTAAAACACATGCATATTATAGCAAAATTTTTAGGAACATAATACTTGAAACAAACTTTAGTTTTATAATTTTTACATCTTTGCAACCCGATGCGGTGCCGGTAGACGTTTGATAATTCAAACTATAAATAGTGCTTCATCAATTTGTCAAAGATCAGAAAATCCAAATTTGTTCATTTGTGAAAAAAAATTGTTATTTCAGAAATTATGCTAATTACCATACGGTAATTCCTTATTTTTCTTCTATAAGTCTTGCAATATCTAGAAAAGTTGTCTCGCTTATCAATAATAAATTCTTTAAAATCCCGTCTTGCTAATCGCTATTTATAAAATCTTTAAAATCATGCAATATCTAGAAAAGTTGTCTCGCTTATCAATAATAAAATCTTTAAAATCTTGTCTTGCTAATCGCTATTTATAAAAATCTTTAAAATCTTGAAATATCTAGAAAAATTGTCTCGTTTATCAATAATAAAATCTTTAAAATCTTGTCTTGCTAATCGCTATTTATAAAATCTTTAAAATCTTACAATATCTAGAAATATTGTCTTGCTTATCAATAATAAAATCTTTAAAATCTTGTCTTGCTAATCACTATTTATAAAATCTTGTCCCAAATATGTTATTTGGTTTCTAAGTCAACATATTTTTGAAAATATTTTTCTTCATCCTCTAAATTCTACAAGTAAATTTAAAATCTCACGTATGTCTATTCATATTCAACTTGATAGGTTAAAAAATATTTTCAAATCATTTTTAGAATGAAAGGTGTGCATGGGGGGGGATTCAATATTCATATGACTTTTATATTCTAAAAAATCAAATGCTGGTTTTTTATCTGGCAAATATAGAATTAAAAATTTAGGAAAATATTTATATTTGAGATTTAATCACAAATTCAGAAATATTAAAACAACAATTTGAAACAAATACTTTGTATTCTTCATAAAAATAGGCTTTTAACTAAATTTAGTTACAGTAAAACAATAAAATTGTTTTAAAAAAACCAAAGCAAAGCAAAATAAAATTAGGTAAGGGTAGGATAAGATCTTGCCTTGGTTTATGTAATGGTAGGATAAGATCTTACCCTGAGGTAGGTAAGGGTAGGATAAGATCTTACCTTGCTTTAGGTAAGGGTAGGATAAGTTTATAAATGAACCAATAGATAAGTTCCAATGCTGAGATCACACTAAAAAGTTCTCACTATTTGATAGATCAGAAAATTATAGTTCAAATCAAAGTAATCTAATTTTGTAGAATTATTGAAAAATTATTGTAAAATAAATGAAAACCCTAAAATTCATAATAGTTCCTGCCATCCTTTTAACCCCTATTATTGGTGAGTTAATTGCAAAAATAAACAAGTACGTTTTAACCGGAGATTGAACAATTCAGTTAAACTGGGACGACGGTGTATAAATTCCTAGTAAGTGTCTAAATTTCTTCAAATGTCGTCTTTGCATTAATAATCCAGGAAATCTACGGAAAATGTTTTGAAACAATCAAACAGTATAGTAATATATGACTGAATGCAATTTTCGATGATTAGAGTTAATTTTATTTCCTCGACTTCTTCCTTAACAATAATTTGTCTCAACAAATTTTATTTTTTAAAACGTTTCTTTTGCATAACATTCTCTCTGGTAAAGTTATAAAAACCTAACTTGACTTAGCCAGACTCTACTTTTAAGATAAAATATATTTTTCTTCAATTTGTGAGAACTTTCCTGCAGCCCAGAAATAGACCTAGATGACCACCAATCATTGAAACCAGAGATATTCCAGACATCTCATCTATTCTTGCAAACTCTAAATAAATAACTGTAAAAATGCCTCACCATAATTATCCTATGACATGAAAAATTTCATCGTATTTCAGGGTGTCCCAATAAACATGGGAATGGAGAAAGAGGACTTTATAGTCGGCTTTGATATCTGATACTTAATGCATGGCACAGAAAATATAAAAACAAGGCAGTACGTCTTACGGGCTTTTCATAATTCTTTACTGGGACACCAAGTATTTACCAATGTTTACCAGGACACCCTGTATTTACCAATGTTTACTGGGACACCTTGTATTTACCAATGTTTACTGGGACACCCAATATTTACCAATGTTTACTGGGACACCCTGTTTTTACCAATGTTTACTGGGACACTCTATATTTACCAATGTTTGGACACCCAGTATTTACCAATATTTACTTGGACACTATATACTCACCAATGTTTACTGGGATATCTTGTATTTACCAATGTTTACTGGGACACCCAGTATTTACAAATGTTTACTGGGACACCCTGTTTTTACCAATGTTTACTGGAACACCCTGTATTTACCAATGTTTACTGGGACACCCTGTATTCATCAATGTTTACTTGGACACTATATACTCACCAATGTTTACTGGGACGCCTTGTATTTACCAATGTTTACTGGGACACCCAGTATTTACTAATGTTTACTGGGACACCCTGTTTTTACCAATGTTTACTAGGACACTATATACTCACCAATGTTTACTGGGACACCCTGAATTTACCAATGTTTACTGGGACACCCTGTATTTACCAATGTTTACATGGACACCCTGTATTTACCAATGTCTACTAGGACACTACATACTCAGGAATGTTTACTGGGACACCTTGTATTTACCAATGTTTACTGGGATACCCAGTATTTACCAATGTTTACTGGGACACCCCGTTTTTACCAATGTTTACTGGGACACCCTGTATTTACCAATGTTTACTTGGACACCCTGTTTTTACCAATGTTTACTGGGGCACCCTGTATTTACCAATGTTTACTGGGACACCCTGTATTTACCAATGTTTACCGGGACACCCTGTATTTACCAATGGTTACTTGGACACTTTATACTCACCAATGTTTACTGGGACATCCTGAATTTACCAATGTTTCCTGGGACACCCTGTATTTACCAATGTTTACATGGACACCCTATATTTACCAATGTTTACCAGGACACCCTGTATTTACCAATGTTTACTGGGACACCCTGTATTTAAAAATGTTTACTGGGACACCCTGTATTTACCAATGTTTACCGGGAAACCCTGTATTTACCAATGTTTACTAGGACACTAAATACTCACCAATGTTTATTAGGTCACCCTGTATTTACCAATGTTTACAGGAACACCCTGTATTTACCAATGGCTACAGAGCCCAAAACTTAACACAGGGTATCGTTATGAAAACCAGTTTTGGAACCTGGGTTTTACAAATGGGTTTACCCAGTTTTGTAGATATCGATATTTTTGTTTTGAAATATTATTTTATTTAGTTTCTTCATATTTTACCATTTTTTTCTAATCTCTTAAATCAAAATCTACACAAATAATAAGACCTCAAAAAGGAAACCCGGGAGTTTTGTTCAACGATACTCTTTTAAATTTTGGGCTCAGGGACACCCTGTATTTACCAATGTTTACTGGGACACCCTGTATTTACCAATGGCTACTGATGAGGCAACATACACATGTACAACGGCAATATCTCTCTCAAACGCATTGTACGTCCTAACATCAGCCTAGAAACATCTATCAATTTCTATGAAAATAAAAAATTCTCAATTTATTAACAAAAAATATTTATAAGGATCTAAAAAACATCAGGATTTGGATTAAGTTTTTTTAGATCACTTCAAAAATAGGGAATTGGGAACAAATCATTTTGCAAAAAAATTGAGGGTTGTACGATGTACAAGACAAGAAATGTCTTGATCTAACTAAGACATTTCTAGGAAAAGTCGGCTTAAAATCATAAAATAAAATAAAAAAATCCTAGAGTTAGAGTAGATAATAATAGGCGTTTACAATTTTTTAGAACAATTTGTTTTATAAAAAAATTTATTGAAAATCTGCTTTCTAGGATTAAGAATATTATTTTGTAAACTGCTTTAGAATGGATTAAAAAAATCTGGTTTCTATATGTAGAAGAAAGACCAGGATTATAAAAAAAGACTAATGTAATAATAATTTTGCAAAAATAATTAAAATAATATGTACTGAATTCACCTTGGTTAGGGATGAAAAAATTTCTTTCTTGATATTTCCAGGAGAGTAATAATCTCTGGTTGGTCCCTTAACACAGAATAATCTCTGATTGGTCCCTTAACACAGAATAATAAAGGGACCGGTTACCATTTTTGTATAAAGCGTAAAAAATATATCAATTTTTTTAATAAAATAATGTATGTTTTAGATCAATTTCTTTGATAAAATGATATATGTTTTAGATCAATTTCTTTAATAAAATAATGTATGTTTAAAATCAATTTCTTTAATAAAATAATGTATGTTTTAGATCAATTTCTTTGATAAAGAAATGTATGTTTTAGATCAATTTCTTTTATAAAATAATGTATGTTTAAAATCAATTTCTTTAATAAAATAATGTATGTTTTAGATCAACATTTTTTAATAAGTTAAATTATTTTTAAGATCATCCTATTTGATATCATAATGTGTTTTATTTGTAGATAAGTTTTTATATTATACTATTTCTGGTAAAAAACGGAAGCTTTTAAATCAAATAAAGCATGCTTTAGATAAATTAAAAAAGAATTTATCAATATCAATCTAAAATCGTAATGCCAAAATCTGGCTGAACTAGCCGTATAAACAGAGCTAATCCTCTAAACTGTTCTACTGAGCTGTGGAAAGTAGAATAGAGTTTAGATCAATATTTTTATTAAAGATTTCCCAGCTTTAAAATCCATCAAGAGCTGGAACTTTTAAAAGTTAAGCTTAATAACTATTTAAATGAGTTCGGCATTGTTTAAATTAAAAAAAATATAAAAAGTGCTTTCGTTAAGATAGACAAAGTTACGTACAACCGATGTACATTTGAATGTTCGAGCTGGGCCATATTGGTTCTGTTTGGACTGTACCGCCAATTGACAACTACTACAGCGGCAGAACTGCTTGAAGTGAAGTGTTTATAAAACTAAATCTTCTGGATCAAAATTTTGGTTCTTTTGATATGTCTGAAAAAGTTTAAAGATTTTGAACAATTGCTTAAAAATTCTATTTTCTAAATTGTATATTTTTTAATCTACTGGTGTACAGTGTACAGTGTACACCAATTTCAAACATTGATATTTTGATCTTGCAATATTTTAATTTTGAAATATCTAGGATCTATGACATCTGGTTGCAAAGATAGAACGATCAGATTATTCTGACTAAAACCAAAGAAACTTAGTTTAGCGTGAACAGAACAAACACTCTCTTAGCTCACAGTGATTCTACACTCCAGTATGCCGAGTCCATAAGCGCCTGATCCAATCAGGATTCAGTCATGTGTTTGTTGTCTTTTCTAAATCAATAGAAATAGTATGGCAGTAACATCTATCTTTTTATCTATATGATTATCCAATCAGAGTTATGAATCCTTCAATCGGCGCTATCAGTAAATGGAATTATTTACTTCTTCTGAAACTAGTGATGTGGCGTAGGGACTCAATTTTTCATCTTCCTTACTTCCCGTAGTAAGAGTAATTGCAATTAACCCTCCATTTAAAGATGGTAATGGCTGATTATTAATATTTACTTCTACTGAAACTATAGTGCCTAATGTTATGAGCTCTCATGCCAAAATGGATGCAGAGGAACTCAAATTTCCTAATTCCTACATCTTTGCATTAACCGATGTTGTAGACCTTAAATATTTCTAACTATGAACTCGAAGGCCCAATTTAAAGAATTTGAGCCGTGGCTTAAATTTGAGATGCAGGGCAAATATGGTTGGTTCCATCTTAAAATTGTATTCAATGTTTCAAGATTTAAGCCAGCGCTTAACCCTATTCCCGCTGGGGGGGGGGGTCAATTTGACCCCCCCCTGTAGTTTTTTTGCATAACTCAAAAAGTATTGGTCTGAGGCTGTTGAAATATTCTGACTTTTCTTACATACCCAAAGCCCTCCCTTTAGGCCTAAAACCGGGCTTTAATACTAACTGCCTGAGTCCTCAGGCACACTGCCTGAATGACTGCTTTTGCCTGTAGCAAACTAAATCTTTGTTTTGACCCACTTTCACTTGTCAGATTTTGATAAAATTTAGCTTTTTGGAAAGCCTATGACATAAGGAAACGGATTGCACAAGTTTTGCGAAAAAAAAATTGCAAATTTTTTGCAAACAACCTGTCAAAGGAAATTTGCACATTTTTAGTTTTTCTTGATTAAAAATCAGGTTATTTAAAATTTTGCAAAAATTTTTGCATATTTGAAATGGCATGGTCAAGGGCTTTTCAAAAATGTATAATTTGTCATTTTTTGGACAAATTTTTTTTTGCAAACATTTTTACTATAAAACTGGATTTTGCAATAAAAAATTCAATTTTCGCAAATTTGCAAATTTTTTTGCAGATTCTAAAAGTAGAGCACAAGAGCTTTCTAATGATGTATCATTTGTCATATTTGGACATAAAACATGGGATTTAGGGGGGGGGGGTCAAATTGACCCCCCCCCAGCGTATCCTGGTTTTCAAGTACCCCAGCGGGGATAGGGTTAATTTAAACCGGTTTTGGCGGATTTGAGACTCATCCCAAATTCATTAAATTCAACTATGTTAGATTAAATAAACTAATTGTTTGTAATATCAAACAAAATTAGAGTTTTTGGAAATGACTCCATTTCTTTCTACTTGAAAACTTAAGCAAAAAACAAGTGCTTTAAAGTTCTAGAATGTCTCTATAAGGCTTTAAATATCTAGAATGTCTCTAAAAAGCTTTAAAGTTCTAGAATGTCTCTATAAGGCTTTAAAGTTCTAGAATGTCTCTATAAGGCTTTAAAGTTCTAGAATGTCCCTTTAAGGCTTTAAAGAACAAAGTCGTAGATTACTGGGTTAAAACAAAATGCCATAGCGTTCTAGGTTGAATACTAATGCACATTTTTATAGCTGTCTGGATCTAAGTAAGCTCTTTATTTTCTAGTATTGAAAGAAAGTCAGAATAGTATTTATTATTATTATCAATGTAAACCATTTTCTTTTTGTCAACTTTATCATAAAAATCGTTGAAAAAGAGAAGATATTTTGGATGTTTCATCATTTTTATAATTTTTATAATTTTATATTTTACAGTATCTGCTTGGAACATTAACCTATTGATACCCATATCGATATATCTTTAATAATTTTTTTCCAGTCCTACAGGCTACAAGTCACTTATTGATTTATTATTGGCTCTTATGTCTTCTCTAACCATCGAAGTTCTTAGATGATTTCGGCGCAATTAAGTATAAGCTTGATTTCGGCGCAATAAAGTATAAGCTTGATTTCGGCGCAATAAAGTATAAGCTTGATTTCGGCGCAATAAAGTATAAGCTTGCTTTCAAAATCGGCGACCCATACTATAAGTATTTCATATTATTGTAAAGTAGCTTAAAATTCCTTTTAAGTTAAAGAGGTCTGAATACATTTGGTGTTTCTGACAAGGGTTTCCTGAGTTATGATCAGATATCCAAAGAACTTTATATTTATGGATATAATTATCTACATTAATAAAAAGTAAACTTAAACAGAAAGTAATTTAAGCCTGCAAAGAATTTCATGGCATTATCTAAGCTTCTAATAAATTTAAGTAACGTAGCTAAATTTCAACGCTTCCTGTGCTATAAGCTAAGAAGCTAAAAGTTAAGCCTAAATCCATTGAAGTCGTAGACAAACTATTTTAATTAGAGTTCAAATAGAGTTTCTAAATTTTGACTGTTTTTGGCATGTTTTTATGAATCTTGTATCAATTAAAGTTTGGACAAATCGGTAAAGGGTTTACTGAGTTATGATTGGAGATACAAACAAAGATTACTACTTTATATGCATATAGAGTGAAATCCTACGACTATTTTTTTCTTGTAAATACAAATGATTTTGTCTCAAATATTAATAAAGTCTGCAAGAAAAATCACGAAACCTCCGCTTAAACTTTACATGGATTTCTCTGAAATTTCGTAATTATATAGAACATATACTAAGCAACGACGATAATTCTTTATTACAGGATAACCCCAATATAATTACTAAAAATATTTAGAAAAGTCATCACAGTATGCATTCAGTTTTTTTCTGGTGTTCTTCTTATCATATTTTTTCTTTGCTAAATTTGTTCTTATTGGATATTTGTAATTTTGAGTGGCCCTGTAATAGATACAGAGGCCCCATGGTAAAATACGTTGTAGGGTGTCCATATAGCTAAATGTGCTTATTAGTAAATACCATAGATAAAGATATATTGCGCATAAGACGACATTTTTCATCTTGAAAGATATAAATGTACAGATACGTTTTAAAGATATTCCTATTATATAGATTAACTAGGTCGGTTGTGAACATTGGCTGTTCTTAAGTCATTGAGTACTTGTGGTGTACATTAGTTCTGTAGAGAGAAATTTAAGTTAGTTTAGTCCTTCTCATGTCCTGTAATAAATCTAGGTCCTGAGATTACGCTACTCAAAGTCTAATTACAGTCTCACTGACTCTATCTCTAGCCAAACTCAAGGCTCTCAATCTCTAACCAAAACTCAAGGCTCTGTATACGTCCGTATAACACAAAGGTTCATGTAGTAACTAATTTATTTATATACAGGTGAAATTAAACTGACCGGACTAGCCGGACAGGGTCAACATAAAAATAGATAAGATATATTACTAGCATGGATAACATAGATCGTACTAAGCATACTAAAGAATATGCTACAGTCCTTCTTCAGTTCTCAAAATAAAATTCACTCCTAAGTGGTTTAATAATTATCAAATCCATTAAAACGCCAAACCACCCCGCTTATTAATGAAGTACACTTTGACCCATAGATATATGAGTTCACGGACTGTACAATTCTTGGTGATTTTGCGTACGTAAGCTATCTTTGTTTATTTATTTATCTATGGTAAATACGTAAATCATGTATTGCAATTAACCCAATCTAGATATATAACTAACTCTGTCAAACCCATATTCTGATTGCTTAACCACGTTATATATCTAACAGCGCATAACTTTTAATTATGCTGTTAAGACATAAGATAATTGATAGCTAGTCCTTGTTGAAACATATTATCTAAGATCGTGCCCATGAGTTTGGCAT